CCAGCATACCCAGCCTTTTTAACTTTTTGAGACAGGGTCTCCCAAAGTTGCCCATGCTGGCCTCAAACTTGCAATCCTCTTGCCTCAGCCTACTGTGTCTCTGGGATTACAGGGGTACGCCGCTGTACCTGCTCATTTAACTGACTCATCTTCCAGCTACAATCCTTTCTTCACTGTGTTTAATCTGCTTTTCTAATTTTTAATTTCAGCTGTAATTTTTCAGGTCGAGAATGTGAAAATTTTTGTTTTGTTTTTGTGTTACAAGTAGCTGGAACTACAGGTGTGCACCACTGCACCCAGTGTGGGATTATTTTTTATTGTCGTCTTAGTTCTCTGTAAAAATTTTTTTTTCCATAGCGCTGGAATTAAATCCAGGGCCTTCTGCATAGTAGACAAATGCTCTACCACTGAGCTGCTGTTACACCCCAGCCCTTTTCAGTTTTTTAAAATGTTAATTATGAGTCTATGATCATTTCAGTATGTGGAAAAAGGTATGTTTTCTGTGTTTGTTCCCTTCGTTTTGAGTCCTGTTTGTTTAGTCCAGGCTCTTCATATGCCTGATCATTGAATGCCAGAAAGAAAAATAGGTGGCTTTGGATGGTGTTTCTCCTTCCAAGTTTTTGTTTTCCTCTGGGCAGTTAGCTGTATGGACAGATCAATCACAGTCCTATCATGAATCTGAGATATTTGGAAATTGCTTTGTAGACTGTTTGGCTGACCTCTTCTCTGGCTTCCCTATCTCAGGACCTCTTGAAGCCACAAAAATTGAAGATCCTCAAGAGCTTTTGGTTATGTGTATTCTGCCTCACTATCTATTAGTATTAAAAAGTAAACCCCATAAATTTTAAAATGTGCTAACCAATTGATTTAATATGCCAATTCCATGTTAACATAAATAGTATTTTTATTAAAAAGAGACTATTTAAAGAAAAAACTTCAGTGAAAATAATGGCATCTTAGTTTGCAAATCTAATATCTGACTTAATAGAAGGCATCTGGACTCTGCTTCTGCCTTCAGCCTGTTGTCATCATATATGAGCAGAAAGAAAACATTTTAGCATGATTAGAAAATACCCTTGACCCAAAGCTAAAGGGTGCCCTGGATAGGACTACACTTTGAGAACCACTGCTTTAGGACTAGCCTTTAGTGACCATTTTTGGTTTGGGGGATTGTTTCTATTTTTGTGGTGTCAGGATGGAATCCAGGGCCTCGCACACGCTAGGCAAGTGCTGTACCACTGAGCTGCAACCCAGCCCTTCTCCAGCAGTCTTGATACAAGTGTGCCTCCTCCTATCCTCCCCAGGACTCTCTAATGGACCTATTTAGTCTCTTAGGAATGGTTTTCTAGTTGAATTCTTGGCCTGTAATCTCCTCCCCACACATGGCTTAGGAATTGACTAATGCCACAAAGTGAAACTGCAAGTACAACATGCACTCCTTTTCTGCATTTTCCTGTGTTTTTATGCCTTCTTGAGTCCTAGCTGACTTGGTTACTTTGATCTCCCATTCCCCCTCCCTGCAGGTGGCTGAAAGACCTAGATGTTTTGCATGGGCCAAAATGGGCTCCCCTGAAGGGCTGAGGATATAGCTCAGTTGGTAGAGATGCTTGCCTCGCATGCATAAGACTCTGGGCTCAATCCCTGACACCACAAAAATAAAAAATAAAATTAAAAAATGGGCTCTCAACACATTTCCTTTGTCTCTAGGATCTTGGCCCCAAATACCTGCCTGTTGGGGTTACTCTCTGAGGCTTTAAACACTGATTTTTTTTCTTTGGATTTGCTTCAGTTCTTGGTAGGAGTGGATGTCCGCACTCAGTTCTCTAATTTACTTTTTTTGTTAACTGCTTAATGGTTTATCTTGGAGATCTTTCCCCAACTAGCCACAAAGACCCTCTTCGTACTTGTTCATCATTTATGGATGATCTGTTATTTTATATGGTTTCCAGTGTCACTAGTACAGTTATACATGTAGCTTGTACATGTCCATGTATGTTTATGGGCTAAATTCACAGAAATGCAACTGCCAAGTCTTTAATGTGTGTGAACACTTGTCATTTTGAGAGCTGTTACCTAATTGCTCTCCATGGTATTGTGCCAGTACATCTTCCCCTAGCATCTCTAAGAAGGGCAGGCATTTTAGCCAAATGGCTTATAGGCTATGGCCAGACTAGGAGAAGCATTGGGGCTCTCCTTTCTCCCTGGTCCCTCCAATAGAAACCAGGCCATGCCTGTGGTCTCTCCCAGGACACATTTGACATCCGGATCCTGATGGCCAAGTCTGTCAAGTACACAGTGAACTTCTTAGAAGCCAAAGAAGGAGATTTGCACAGGTACCAGAAGCCACACCCCATTCCCCCAAGCCTGGCTCATACTGAAGATCAGGGCCACTACTGGCTCTTGCTGACTTTATGTTGCCCTGGGGCAGGTGGGCAGGGGATCCCAGCCTCTGTACCTGGCCACCCCTTTTTTCCCCAGCAGCTCATTTTGGCTTCCCCAGCAAACCACTGTCCTTTACCTTCCAGGATAGAAATCCCATTCAAATTCCACATGCTGCATTCAGGGCTGGTCCACGGCCTGGCTTTCTGGTTTGACGTTGCTTTCATCGGCTCTATGTGAGTTCAGCAGGGTAGACCATGCTACCCCCACCCACTCCCCGGGCTCCCTACAGCTGTGGCCACCCCAGACCTGGCTGTGCAGTCGCTGCATTGGGGGCTGGGAGGGTAGGACATAACTCCTCAGGTTCCTCTGTCCCATTCAAAAGGCAGCGAGAACATGTCTTTGAACAAAAGACCCTTGGGAGGGAGGTGCATATCTGCTGTGTTCGGAGTACCTGTCCCTCATGGGCCCTTGTCTGTCTCACTGCATGTAGATGTCACGGTGAGAAGGCACCCCATGGCTGCAGATGCCTTGTGCGCTTGTTTAAGCTCACATGTGTTTGCCTAGGCTGCTGGAGTTCCAGCCTGTCTTGGTTATGGGGCCCAAGGGACCAATCAGAGGGGGCAGGCACTTTTGGAGAGCCCAAGGTACAGATACAGAGCAATGACCCAAGTGGTGGCACCAACCCAGTCAAGTAAATGCCTGTCCCTGCTTGACAGAATGACCGTGTGGCTATCCACTGCCCCAACGGAACCCCTGACCCACTGGTACCAGGTCCGGTGCCTATTCCAGTCACCACTCTTTGCCAAGGCTGGGGACACACTATCAGGGACATGTCTGCTTATTGCCAACAAAAGGTATGACCTGCTGCCCAGGGCTGGGAGTGCAGGGGTCTGTCAGCTTGGCCACCTCACAACTGCCCTCCTCTACTTCTCTATAGACAGAGCTATGACATCAGTATTGTGGCCCAGGTGGACCAGACAGGCTCCAAATCCAGTAACCTCCTGGATCTAAAGAACCCCTTCTTCAGGTAAGAGGGCCTCTGCCTATGTGGGGGGTACCCTGGGCCCCACAGTCCCCCAGCCCTGCCCACCAGTCATCTCTGCCACAGATACACAGGAACGACTCCCTCACCCCCACCTGGCTCGCACTACACCTCTCCCTCTGAAAACATGTGGAACACGGGCAGCACCTACAACCTTAGCAGCGGGATGGCTGTGGCAGGTAAGTCCACCATGCCCTTGACATAGCCGCTGACTTTGGTGGCCTGCCTGGACTCCTCCTGCTCCCGAGCCTGCCTCTAGCACTGGCATCCGGGACACTGTGTCCTACCCCTGACATGTCCCTCTCTGGGCACAGGGATGCCAACTGCCTATGACCTGAGCAGTGTTATTGCCGGCGGCTCCAGTGTGGGCCACAACAACTTGATTCCTTTAGGTAAGTGTCCCCTGGGGTCCAGGGAATGGCTGGGGGAGGGGGCAAACAGGACCGCCCTGAAGCAGGGAAGGGCTGGTGGCCAGTCTGTTGATCAGTGCTTAGTCTTTCAGCACTACTGTCTCCATCCTTGCCTCTTCCTCCTCCTGGGGGCTCCTGGCTGAAGCCCTGCGTTCGTTCGTTTGTTCCTCTCTGCCTGGCTCTGTCACTGCTGCATCTGCCCTTCCCACACCCGCTGTGAAAGCGTGAGTGGGCTGGGCAGGCTAGGGGTGGTGACGCTGTCTCCCTTCCTTCCTTCCTTCCTCCCTGTCGCTGCGCAGCCAACACAGGGATTGTCAATCACACCCACTCCCGGATGGGCTCCATAATGAGCACGGGGATTGTCCAAGGTAATGGCGGGTGGAGGGGTCTGGGGTCCCTTGGGCAGGGCCGCGTTAGCATGGGAGTGTGGCCCAACTGCTGCCTCACCTGCACGCGTGCTCTCACTTTTGGGGGAGCTGGATAGGCACAGGGGTCAAGCTGGCCCTCAGTACCTACTGCCTGCCCCACAGGCTCCTCAGGTGCCCAGGGCGGCGGCGGCAGCGGCTCCAGTGCCCACTATGCAGTCAACAGCCAGTTCACCATGGGTGGTCCTGCCATCTCCATGGCCTCGCCCATGTCCATCCCGACCAACACCATGCACTACGGGAGCTAGGCACTCTGCCCTGACAGACTGACAGCACCAGGAAACCAAATGAAGCCCCCGCCCAGCACCTTCGCCCGGGCGGCTGTCCCCTTGTACTGGAGAAGCCCAAACATCCCGTCACAGCCCTCTTTGCTATGGGAACTTGGACACTTTTTTTACACGATGTTGCCGCTGATCCTACCTGACCCTGCCCACACCTTGGCCCTGAGCGAGTGTCGCTGCCACATTTTACACAAGATCATGTCAGGGGAGCCTTTGTCCCCCTCCAGCCCTCTTCACTCTGACCTGGCTTTGACATCTGCTGTAACAGGCGTGTTGGGGCCAGCAGCTGCACCCTGGTTGGGCAGGAGGAGGGAAGCAGCTGCCACAATGGCCCAGGCTGCCCTGCCCCACCAGGCCCCCAGCCCCTGCCCCCATCACCTGTCTCCAGTGGGAAGGCAGCCCAGCTGGGCAGGACCTCTCCTTCAACTACCAGGCCACCATGGTCACCATGGGCGTGACATGCTGCTTTTTTTAATTTTATTTTTTTACGAAAAGAACCAGTGTCAATCCACAGACCCTCTGAGAAACCCGGCTGGCCGGGCCCAGCCAGCAGCCCCTCTCCCCAGGCTCAGAGGTTCAGTGGTGGGGGCAACCCTGGGCCAGGCCTCAGGCCCCTCCCCACCAAAGGGTTCACCTCACTTGAATGTACAACCCACCCCAGCTGTCTGAAGGCCCTCCGTCCTCTGCCCCTGCCTCTTGCTGCTGTTCTGTCCCTGAGCCCCTGCAGGTCCCCCCTCAGCCTCCACCAAAAGCTGGAATAGGCAGCCTGGAGGGAAGGTCATTGTGGGTTGCTTCAGACAGACAGAAGCCTCAAGGATCTGTCAGAGAAGGCATCCTTTTCCCTTGTAGCTAACATTAGGCCTGTGTATTTCCCCTCCAGACTCATAGATAATCCAGTCCCTACCACCATGATGGCATTTTGGTCCTTCTCCATCCTGGGAAAGGACCTTGAAGGAACTTCTTCCTCCAAAAAAGAAAGCAAACAAAATAAACAAGGAAATGTATGTTTCAGCACAGGCAATTTTCTTCTACTTCTGCTCCCCTTGTTCCTAGCACCCCCAACCTCAGAAGCTGGAGCTCAGGCTAGGCCTCACACCCACTCTGTGCCCCCAGGCTGCCCTTCTTCCTTCTGTCCTTGGCAGAGCTGTCAGGGAAAGCATAAGGCCCACTGGCAGGCTGGAGGGCTTGGGAGTCCAGTCCTGTCCTGCAGCTGTGTTGCCTGAGCCACCTTGGAAGCTCCCTGCTCAGCTGCCCCTCCCCCACCTTTATATGAATTCTCTGGATCACCTTTGCATAGAAAATAAAAGTGTTTGCTTTGTAAGAAAAGTCTGGAAAGTAGCAGAGCGGTCTCGAGCGGTCGAGGGAGACTTCAGTCATCACCAGGAACAGGACAGGCATGTCCCTTTAGGTTTTGCCTGAAAGAGAGAGACTTCTAGAAGCAGCCCCAGAGAGAAGGGAAGGTACCCCCTCAGACAAAGCAGAAATGGTCCTTTACCTATAGGGTGGGCCTTCCTAGGAGGTTGCCATGGACCGGGTCATGGTGGGTGTTGGTAGTATGTTTGGGGGCAGAGATGTGGCTTGAGATGGAGGTGCAACGTGTTCTGGAGGCAGTGGCTGGAAGAAGTACAGCTGAACAGAGACCCTTGGGGTCAGTGGCAAAGGCAGGCAAGCAACCCACTCCTGCCCCACAACCCAGCCTGGGGCCATTGGAACCATACCTTACAGCCCATGGCCAGGAGGGCATGGAGCACCACCACAGTGGACAGTAGCACTGCAGCCACCAGTCTAGTGTCTTCACGGACGACAGGCCAGAGGGTGAACACCAGCCCAGCAGCTGACAAGGTCAAGGCCAGTGCCCCAAAAAGCCACTGCAGCCATGGCACAGGGATGAGCCACAGGACCTGAGGTGACAGGGGCAGCTAGTGACTGTGCCAGATGATTCCTTTGGCTCCCACCATCTACCTATCACCAGGCCATACTCACCACAGTGGGGATAAAGATGAAGAGGGAGTAGCCATAGATGCACACGGTCTCTAGGAAAGTGTAAGGTCCCATGCGTTCCCGGACGCCCTTGCGCCACCGCAGGAAACCCCATAGCGCCAGCGGCACAAGCCACGCATAGCAATAGATGGTGATACCTGCCACAGTAACTGGGAGGCAAGGCAGCAGTTACCTCTCATGTCCTGGGGCCTGTGGCTGCCAGGAGCTGAGCCCATCCACTCTACTTACCCTTATGAAATTGGGGGCTATAGTGGACAGAGGGGTCCCTCCTCTGGGCCAGCACCAGGGTCAGGTTGCCAGTGACTGCCAGGACGAAGGCCAGGGTGGCACAGATCCAGAAAGGGCCTGTGAGGAAGTCATAGTCCAAATCCCGGGCTCAGTGCTCCCAGAGGGGGTGAATGGGTCTTGTCTCTATTGCTGGGGAGGTCAGGGGGACCCCAGCCACTCATTTGACTCTCAATTGGGACATTCTGGTGGCTGGATTTAATGCTGCCTCTTAGTTCATCCTTCTCTGCCTGGGAAGGCTCCATACGGCTAGAACCCCACGCTCTAGCTCTTGTCTCACATCACTGGCAGCAATTCCTCAACTTTTTCAACTCTGATAAAGCCATTAATGGAGAGCAGCTGGGGCTCAGTCCTTGGCCCTGCTCCATGTCCCTGTTCACCCCTGGCATAGTCTTGTTCAGCCTCAGGGTTCCCTGTTATTTCTATACTGATGATTCCCAGATGGTAGAGTGTCCCAAATTGTATACTCATACATGTTCACTTTTCAAGGTGGACATTTTGAGGTGTCTCCATCTCCACCCCACACTTGCTCCTTTCCCTCCAACCTGCCCAGCTTTTCCCATCCACCCACAGCAACTATGCTGGTGGTCCAGGCCAAAACCCTGGGAGTACCCTTTGCTTCCCTCACCACCCTGACTAGTCTGTCAGCAAATCCTGTTGGTTCTGCCTCTATAACACATCCCAGAACCAACCACTCTCTCTGTCCTCAGCCTCCATGAGTTGTCTCCTGCCTGGTCTCCTATCTTCCATCCTTATCCCCGATGTGGCCAGAGGGGAACCTAGGAACACCTCATTAAGATCCTTTCTCACCACAGTATGGGAGCCTGTGCCACTTGTCCCAGTACTTCAGTGACATCCTAACAGCTCACTTCTTTTCAGTGACAGTGCAACCCTCCAGTGCGGGGATGTCTCTACCTTAAGGCTTGGGCCCTCACTGGGACCCTCCTCCTCTAGATCTGTCCACCCCTGACCAATACTTGCCAATAAGGCTCATTCTCTTTCCTCAGAGACCTTCCCTGACCCACACAGACACAACAGCATCACCCTCCACTACACTGCTTCCCTTCTCTTCTCAGCCCCATCATCCACTACAGTCTGTTATGTCTCTGTCTCCCTAAACAGAACACAAGTTTCACTCTTGGTGACTACTTTTTTCTCAGCTGTACAGCAACACCTGCCATTCAGTCCACACGTGCTGAATGAATAATCAAATGAAACAAATGCACAAACTTACTCACCATACAGATCTGGACGGTTTCGCAGATGGTACCGTACAAAGTTGTGGCCAGGCCAAGGTAGGAGTGAGCCTTTGATCCGGTCTAGGACCTGAAAGACAAGGCCACAGTCCAGGATGGAAGCCTTCCCAGGGTTCCTCCTGTACTTTGGGAGTTTCTTTCCCCAATGACCTCTTCTCTCCTCTCTCCATGCCCTACCTGAAAGAGCTCATCTCGCCCTTCTAAGACTTTTTTTTTTTTTTTTTTTTTGGGGGGGGGGCTGTTGAGGATTGAACCCAGGGCCTTGTGCATGCTAGACAAGCACTCTACCAACTGAGCTATACTCCCTGCCCTGCCCTCTAAGCCTTTTTTAAATTATTTTTTTAAATTGAATCCTGGAGGGCTGGGGATGTGGCTCAAGCGGTAGCGCACTCGCCTGGCATGCGTGCAGCCCGGGTTCGATCCTCAGCACCACATACAAACAAAGATGTTGTGTCTGCCGATAACTTAAAAATATATATATATATATATATATATATTAGAAAAAAATTCTCTAAATAAATAAATTGAATCCTGGAGCACTCTACCATTGAGCTACATTTCTTTTTTCTTTTTTAATTTTGAAACAGGATCTCACTAATTTGCTAAGGCTGACCTCAAAACTTTTGATCCTCTGGAGTCAGCCTCTCAAGCAGCTGGGATTATGGACATGCACCACCATGCCTACCTTCCCTCTAGGCTTTTGACAAGATGTTCCCATGGCTTAGAGACCCTTCCCCTGGTCACTAAGTTGAGCTCTCACTCAACTTACCAATACTGAAGGCTATCTTCCAGGCTGCCACTTTCCTGTTTGCTTCCCCTTAGACAACTTGGCTGCCTAAACTGTCCTTGACACTTCCCAGCCCCAATAAAGACAGCCAATAAGTCCTGGGAAATCTTCCCTCTACATCTCTGTGTAGCACCAGTGGCACGAGACAAGACACATTCACTTGCTCTCATAGTCTGTGGCCCTGGTTTATTCTCATTAAGCCTGGCCTGGAGCTGAGCATGGTAGCATACATCTGTAAGCCCAATGACTCAAGAAGGTTGAGAGAAAGGAGGATCACAAGTTCAAGGCCAGCATGGGCAACTCAGAGGCTCAAAAAATAAAAAGGGCTGGGGTTGTAGCTCAGTGGTACAGTACTCCTGGGTTCAATCCCAAGTATCCCCCTACCACGGACCACAAAAAAAAAAAAAAAAAAAATCCTGGTCTAGAGCTCTGATCCATGTGCACATCTGGTCATCTCATTCCTCTCCTGCTCTGACCCTTCTGACTCCCCAACACCCTCAGAATAAAACCCAAATTCTAACTCCTTAACACAGCTCATGGCTGGGCAAGTTAGCACATGAGTAGTCCCAGCTACTCAAGAGGCTGAGCTAAGAGATCCTCTTGAGCCCATGAGTTTGGGGCCAACCTGGGCAACAAGGCCAGACTCCATCTCAAAAAACAAAACAGTAAACACAAAAAAACTAAAAACATAGCGTATGAGGTCCTCTGTGATCTGCCTTCTGCCTGTCCCCCATCTCACACTCTCCCACCAGATTTAGTGATAGGTAGCTTCTACTACTGTTCATGACTCCTCTTGCCTTTTGTCTTCACATATACTGTTTCCTGTGTCTGGAACATAACTAGTGCTCCCATCCACCCTTCCTGGGTAACCCTCCTTTCTCTGTTAGGTCTCAGCAAATTCCTCACTTCCTACTGGAGGCCTTTCCCTATTCACCAGATCCTGTGCATGTAGCGGGGTTCCCCCCTCTTTGTTCCCACAGCCCATCACCAAAATCCTTAGAAAATACCACCATTCCTTTTACTAGCCTGGGTAGGAGCACTTGTTCTCCCATGTAGCTGTTACCAGCACTCTGTCTCAGCCTGGTGCTCAGTCGATACTGGCTGAACCGCCAGCATGACTCTGAGCCCCTCCCATCAGCTTCCAGGCCTCACCTGTGAGGTATCCACGTCAAAAAAGCTCTGATAGTAGCTGAATGTCCAGAATCCCGGCTGTGGCTTCTCCTCCTGTAAAAGCTGCAGAGTGTGGGATTTCAGTGCTTGCTCTTACAGCCTACGTCAGCCAGGGGGTGGTCAGAGTCAGGGAATGGGGACTTAGGTGACTCACCGCTGTCTTGTCACCCTCTTCCTCCACCTCTTCCTCTACTCCATAGCTGCCACCAGAGCCGACAGCCACAACTACGTGCCCTTTTGGGGTCAGCTGATCACTTTTGCTGGTGGTAGCTGCATCTGGGGTCTCAGCCAGAAGATTAGTAGCTTCCTCAAATTCTATGAAGAAGGACAAATGGGACAAGGCACGTTTTGAGGCAATTAATTGTGCATGGTCCACTGCTCATGGCGGGGACTAAGGTTATAACAGCGGCAACCTCAACTCTCTCCCGAGACAGGGCACAACTTCCTCAGTTCCGGGGCATGGGAAGTAAGACTGTTCCCTTACTCCTAACGTGGGAATGCAACTCAGGGTTGGTCCTCGGATAGACTCAGGGCCTCGGGATATGGAGTCTAAGTTCAGGACGGGAGCGCGGTTCGAATGCGGATGGGGCTCATTCTTGAGGCAGGTTTCCGGTCTGGGGTCAGTGTACACAGCCGCGTGGGATTCGGGTTAAGTAAGAGATGGAAGCTGCACGGGAGGTTCTGGCCAGGGGCGGGAGCAGAAGTTCCCGCCGCATAGGGTCCGCACTCACCGTGGAAGGCCAACCCGTCAGCCGCTGCCATGGTTGTTCAGGGGCGTCACCGCATCCCGCTCTGAAGACAGAGGCCGATCAGGCTCGCGCCCCTCCCAAACCCTATTCCTCAGCTTCAAGCCCTGCCTCGTGGCTAACAACACCCACCGGGACTTAAGCTCGCCGTCGGGTCCCTCAGTAGTACCCCGCCCTCCTCACCTGCAGCCACTTTAGCCGGCGTGGCCAGGGCTCTCTGCGCCTGCGCGGGACGCCTACCCGTCAGAATCAACCCTGCTTGGATCAGAAAGCAACATCCGGTGCTGGTCCGTTTTCTATTCTCCTCCGGTGGAAAGCCATGTCCGGAAACTCACAGAAGAGCCCCTACTCCCCCTCCCCCGTGGGTGGGAGCCTTTTACTTCAGGTATGAGGTGTTTCTCTTCGGACTAAGGGCCCTAGGCCGGAAGAGGATGGCGGCGGCTGCTCTGAAGAGATTTTGGTCCCGAGGCCGCGGAGAAGGGGGCGTTGAGGCTGGAAATGCTGCCGTGGCGGTGAAGCCAAGCGTGTGGGCGCGGCTGGGTGAGTAGTGGCGGAAGGCAGTGGGATGGGTGCCCGCAGCGGCTGAACGGCTCCGACAGCGTTTCTTTTCCCTCAGGCGACTGGGCCCGCGCGCTGCTCCGGGACTACGCAGAGGCTTGCCGGGACGCGGTGGCTGCGGCGCGGGCTCGGCCGGGGCGCGCAGCAGTGTACATGGGGCTGCTGGGCGGCGCCGCAGCCTGCTGCGCTCTGGCGCCGAGCGAGGAGGCCTTCGAGGAGGCGCTGCTCGATGCGTCTGGGACTCTCCTGCTGCTAGCGCCAGCCACTCGCAACCGCGATTCCGAAAGCTTCCTGCAGCGACTCCTTTGGCTGCGGGGCCGCGGTCGTCTGCGCCACGTGAATCTGGGGTTCTGCTCGCTCGTGTACGAGGCGCCCTTCGACTCCCAGGCCAGCCTCTACCAGGCCCGCTGCCGCTACTTGCAGCCCCGCTGGGTCGACTTCCCCGGCCGAATCCTGGATGTGGGCTTCGTGGGCCACTGGTGGATACTGAGCACCCGGATGCGTGACTGCGACATCAACGATGACGAGTTCCTGCACCTGCCGGCACATTTGCGCGTGGTCGGACCCCACCAGCTGCACTCCGAGGCTAATGAGCGGCTCTTCGATGAGAAGTACAAGCCTGTTGTGCTCACTGACGATCAGGTGGACCAGGCGCTGTGGGAGGAGCAGGTGTTGCAAAAGGAGAAAAAGGACAGGCTTGTCCTGAGCCAGGCCGACTCGCTAGTGCAGTCGCAGGTCGCAAGATGAAACCCAGTAAGAGCGTGAGGCCTGACTGGGGTCTGAGCCCTGGCAGACTGTGGAATGATGAGAGTGGGACGTAAATTATATGCACTGTTCTCTAACTGCTGTTGTTGAAAACAAGTTTGGAGAGCCATACTCTCTATCTCTTTGTTCCTTATTAGTGAAGCTAGTTCACAGTCTTTTTGGTCTAGGAATTGGGTAGAGCAGAGTTGACTAATGTTTATCACTGCCAGAGCTGGTAATGAGCCTTTTACATAAGTCTTTTTAGGCTGGGAATGTAGTAGCTCAAGTGGTAAAGCACTTGCCCCTGGCATCCCTAAAGTCCTAGGTTTGATCCCCACTACCACAAAGACAAAAGAAAAATAACTTCATCCTTTTTCACTGTGTGACACAAGTCCCTTGACAGAGGTACTACATTGGTCAGGTGACTCCCAAACTCTCTTCCAAGAGCATGCATATTTTGCTTTATTTCTTTGTGTGTTTTCCTCCTCTTGTTCTTTTTCTTTGCGGGGAGGGAGGGGGTACTGGGGACTGAACTCAGGGGCACTTGGCCACTGAGCCACATCCCCAGCCCTATTTTGTATTTTATTTAGAGACAGGGTTTTAGAGAGTTGCATAGTGAATTGTCGTTGCTGAGGCTAGCTTTGAACTCACGATTCTCCTGTCTCAGCCTCCCAAGCTGCTGGGATTAAAGGCGTGTGCCACCATGCCCAGCTCCTCTTGTTCTTTTATGAGTAACATGTTTGTTCAGATTTTTAAAATTCGTTGAGCCAGCTGTGGTGATACACACCTGTAATATGAGCTACTCTAGAGGCTAAAGCAGAAAGATTGCAAGTTTGAAACCAGCCTGGGCAGCTTAATAACACCATATTCAAATAAAAAGGGCTGGAGATGTTGCTCAGTAGTAGAGCACTGGCAGTGTGAGTGAGGCCTTGGATTCAAACTCCATTACCAAAAATAAAGTAAAACACTAATTATAGTCTCACAAGAAATTGGCAAAATAATACATTTTGAATACTCTTTACCCAGTTTCCCTTAAATGGTATTGTTTTACATAACTAATACTAAATGAGGATATTGATATTAGTATGACTGTTTGGTTTTGGAAGGGACGTGTTTTTGTAAAAACAACTTGGTTTTATCATATGTGTATTGACAGTGATTAGAAGTGGCTTGGAAGGAAAAATAGGTCCTAATCTCAAAATCTATATCTAATTGTAAATCCTGTTGATGTCATACTTCAGGTACCCTGAAAACAGAATTCTTTGGAAAAGAATAAGTTAAATTATGTAGTTGGTACTTAGCTAGGTTATGATAATCACACCTCTTAAGCTAAAATATTGGGGAATGTGACTACCTCTGTCACCTTGGTGCCTGTAGCTAGTTAATAAAACCAGGAGATGAAACAGTGGTCTTTGTTGTTATGGGTTTTTTGTTTTTTGTTTTATTTTTGTAGTGCTGGGGATCAACCAGTGGCCTCACACATGCTACACACACACCCTACCACTGAGCTACACCTCCAGCCCTTTTTTTTTAAATATTTTTATTTGTTGATGGACCTTGTTTATTTATTTAATTGCTTATATGTGGTGCTGAGAATCGAACCCAATGCCTCACACATGCTAGTCAAGCGCTCTACCACTGAGCCACACCCCCAGCCCCCTTAAATTCTTATTTAAGAATCAGAGGAGTATCTGCATCTCCATTTTACTGAAGAAAAGTTGTGGTATATACAAAGTTACTATTTCCAAGGATATGATAGGTCCATCATCAGGCCAACTGCACAACTGCCAATCCTGTGACTTAGCCTAAGATTTGTGGTACAGTATTATCTTTGTTCCTAATAACATCTTGCCAGAATTTGTGTGTATGGTACTGGGAATCAAATTTAGAGCCTCATGCATGCTAGGCAGACACTGTACCACTAAGCTATACCCACAGCCCTCTTTGCCAGAAATTATTGAATTCTGCCGTCACTTGCCATATATACAATTTGAATACAGAAATAAATAAATAAGAAAGATGCAATGAAAACAAAAAAACAAATGATTCAAAATTCTAATCCTACACTGTTAATTTGGCAGACTTTGGACTCAACCCCTGCATTCTTTGTTAGATTAGCCAACTTCAGGAGAGGGTTTAGGACACACTTGTGCTGTGCACAGTGCACACCTATAATCCCAGCCACTCAGGAGGCTGAGGCAGGAAGATCACAAGTTCGAGATGGCCAAAGTGAGATGTGTTTTCTGTGAAAGAGTATTGTACACCTTCATTGCCTGCCTGAATCAATTATCAAATGCCATTTCTGACTTCTACTTGGGTGTCTTTCATGCAGGCCTCCAAAATCTGCAGGCAGATACAAAGGTGAGAGCAATGGATGGCCACAAACTCAAGAATACTCATCTGTGGCTAGAAATTGTGGACTTTGGTCAGACTGAAATCCTTGTGACTTGTTTTTTGCTGAAGGGTTTGCCTTTCTCAGAGGAGAGTCCTGCTGTATTTTGGACCTTTCACCAGTCATATGAAAGGAGGAGCTGTTAGATGTGACACAGGACTAGGTGGGCGTGGTGCTGTGCATCTTGGGCTATACACTATTTCCTGAGGGTAGATCTAAGTCTGTTCAGTGATGAGCTCCTAGCATCCTCAGGCTCAGCCTAGTGTGGGCCTCAGCAAATGTTGAGAAAGTTAACAAAGTACTACATGTTTACACTGTTGATACAAGTTGGTATGGTCTTGATGGGGAAGGAAAGCAAATGGAGCCTGAATCTTCAACCTTTAACTAGCCCAAGGAAAGAAACTAACTCGTCTAAGTCCTGCTCCCAAAACTGGAATAACAAAGTGAACATGTTGTTTGTTTTTCTGTAAGGGAAAAGTGGTCTTTAAGGGAAGATTTGAATCTATCTCAGGGTTTGTAGTAAGTGATGTCAAAACCAAAGAAAGAAGCAGACAGATCCAGGATTGCACAGAGTGCAATTTATTGGGGACTTACTGACAAGCATAGTTGTGGGCAGTAGCAAGACCAAGTGGATGCCTCCAACTTAGGTTAGAAGGAGGAACATATGTATTGTTCGGGATAAAAATGACTTCATCCTGGCTGGAATGTATCTGGCTTTTCTTGAGCCAATATCAAAAGAGTTAGGCACATTCCTAGCACCAAGTCCAGTTGCAAAGCTCCACACATCACTTTGATGATTTGGTCTGATTATAGTTTGCTGGGAAACTAGGAAAAACCTGCTGGGGTTACTCAGGAGGGGTAATCATTGCAATTATTACTTAAGATGGCTGCAGTCATGTCAAACTGAATCCATACAGTGACCTCAGATGGATGAAGTGACTTCTCCATCCTGGCTCCTTATCTGTTAGTGGAATTATTAGAAAAATTGGAAATTCTTTGAAAGCATTTGGTACATTGTAGGCATTCACAGAACATACAGTGTGACTATGTGAAATTGTGTTTGGTTTTGCTTTTTTGGTACTAGGGATTGAACCCAGGGGTGATTAACCACTGAGCCACATCCCCAGCGTTTTGTTTTTGTTTTGAGACAGGGTCTTAGTTGCTCAGGGCCTCACTTAGTTGGTGAGGCTGGCTTTGAACTTGTGATTCTTGGGGCTCAGCCATCCATGCCGCTGGGATTACAGACTTGTACCATCACACCTGATTGTAAGGAAGATTATGGCTCTTGAGTCCATGCTGTGCCTTTCCCTTGTAGGGCGGGTTCAGTAAATATCATAGCAGTAGAGCCAAGGTGTGCTTGGTTCTCAGGGCCCAAAGAGACTTAATATATAAATATTTTCGGGGCTGGGGATGTGGCTCAAGCGGTAGCGCGCTCGCCTGGCATGCGTGCGGCCCGGGTTCGATCCTCAGCACCACATACAAACAAAGATGTTGTGTCTACCAAAAACTAAAAAAAAATAAATATTAAAATTCTCTCTCTCTCTCTCTCTTTAAAAAAAAAAAATAAATAAATAAATATTTTCAAGTTCTCCCTTTTTCTTTTCTTTTTTTTTTTAAAGAGAGAGTGGAGAGAGAGAGAATTTTTTTAATATTTATTTTTTAGCTTTTCGGCAGACACAACATCTTTGTTTGTATGTGGTGCTGAGGATCGAACCCGGGCCGCACGCATGCCAGACGAGCGCGCTACCGCTTGAGCCACATCCTCAGCCCCAAGTTCTCCCTTTTTCTTAAATTTTTTTTTTATGCAGTGCTGGGAATGGAACCCAGGACCTCACACATGCTAGGCAAGTGTTCTATCACTGAACTACACTCTGTCCTTTAAAATTTATCAGCTTTTTTTGTGTGGGGGGGCGGGTTTGTTTTTTTGTTTGTTTGTTTTTACTATCAGCAAAGTTCAGTTTTTATTGTATATTACTAGATTTTTAGTCAAAAAGATGAAAGCCTTCATCATTATTGGACTCTGGATTCTTCTCCTATTTCTCAACTGGGGCAGCAATGGAGGAATGGGCAGGACCTCCTGCTGGTGTTACACCAGCTATTGGAGCTGGCCAACCAGTCTCTGTTGCAAATGAGGCTCCCAGTGTTGACAGCGGCCTGGGTCTTTGCAAATAACCAGGTCAAAAGTTTGAACATTTACACCACACCAGCTGCTTTAATGATGGCATTGATCTTATCCTCCGTGAAAATTACCTCATTATCAAGTAGGATGAAAGCAGAGAAGATGCAAGCCAGCTCAGAGACAGAGGCCATGGTGCTGGCTGCTGGGGGTGGTTCTGGTTGCCAGATGAAGTGTGAGGGCCTCAACCCCCAACATGGCCTTAGCTTCCTTAGAAAGACTGAGCACCTTGGTGGCCTCTAAGGAAAGAAGTATTTTGGTGATGGGGATTGAACCCAGAGGCACTTAACCACTGAGCTACATCTCTAGCTCTTTTTATTTTGAGAAATGATCTCCCTATATTGCGTAAGGCCTCACTAAGTTGCTGAGGCTGGCTTTGAACTGGTGATCCTCCCACCTGAGCTTCCTGAGCTGGTGGGATTACAGGTGTGTACCCCTGCACCTGGCACTAAATTTATTTGTCTATTTAATTTTTTTAGTTGTAGATGGACACAATATCTTTATTTATTTATTTTTATGTGGTACTGAGGATCATACCCATTGCCTCACACGTGCTAGGCAAACACTCTACCACTCAGCTACAACCCCAGCCCCACCAAATTTATTCTTGATTAGCTTTAATCTCAAACTTCTAGGCCAGTCCTGGGCATATTTTATGGAAAAATCTATTGTTGTGATTGGAAACACCAGCAGAGGGCACCAGAAACTCAGAGTTTGGCTGGCTTTTGCTGGCCTTGCTGATGGAACCTCTTTGGGAATGGCTAGCCCCAAATTGCTTTTATTCCTATGAAACAGGGAGCAAGTGTGCGATAATTGCTGTATGTATCCATTTTCTACACTTTAAAATTGGTATGTGATTGTGAAGTCACTGCTATAAGGAGGAGCCACCTCCATCCCTGGAATCTGTACCATTAGTGGTAAGCAAAGAAGGCTGGGAGAGGTTCTGTTTGGACAGGACACCCCACATAGACCTTTATTCCCAGATATCTCAGAGGGGTAGGCTCACCTTCGCCTTGAAAGTTTATCCAGTTCCCCAGTTTTCTGAGTTGTGTTAAGTATCCAACCAAATAAGAAAGGAATTAGGGTAAAGCCAGTCCAGTGCCTAGGGCACAAGAGTGAAGGAGGCACTTCTCAGGGTTGTACAAGGGCAGCCGTGCCCTTGAGAAGGAGATCCTCTTTAGATTCCGTCCCTGAGGCACCTCCCTGGCCCTGTCCGAGTGCTAGCCTTGCTTACTCTGTGCCCAGCCAGGTCACATGAATATGCATGGCAGGATCATCTAGACCTGCTCTTCACCCGTAAGCACTTTGTGAACAAGTACTTGAAACCCTCCAGTGATGACTAGATTTATAATTCTCAGCCAGTCATTTTCCAGGTTTGCTCACATGACAGGTAGAGGCTGCCCTCTATATCTGCAGGTTCTGTATCTGTGGATTCAGGCAACCTTGGATCAAAAATATTTGGAAAATTTGGGTCCAGTAGCACATTTTTGTAATTCTGGCTACTTGGGAGGCTGAGGCAGGAGTATTGCAAATGCAAGGCCTACCTGGGCAACTTGGTGGACCCTATCTCAAAATAAAAAGGGCTGGGGTTGTAGCTCAGTGGTAGAGTGTCCCTGGGTTCAGTTCCCAATATTGAAAAAAAAATGTCTACAGGAGGGTGTGTGGTTTTATGCAAAAAATTACACCATTTTCTATGAAGAGCCTCAGCATCCTCAATGAATTTGGTGTCTGCCCAGGTCCTGGGACCAATCCTATGGATACTGAAGAAGGACTGTATTTGGGAGCTACAGGAATGATGAAGGAGGAGCAATAGGACTTTAAGGTTTGAGAGTAGCTA